TTTTAGTTTTACTTAAAATGCTGACACTCTTCGGGTAATTTCTGTGAAAATCATAAACTAAATTTAATAGGAAAACTCGGCTCCTGAACAGCTTTGTAAATTTTTTTCTGGAACCTTTTGCAACTTCGAATTTTGGACAAAACCCTAGTAATTGTTTCTGGATTTTTTCCCAAAAACATTTCCCCGAACAGAACAAGTGAAAGTTTATAGTCAAATATTCGGAAAACTCGTCACGTTTGTCGCTGTGAATAATTTGGTTTATTTATTCCGGTTTCTTCACTTTTACGTCAATATTTCTGAACAAAACTCTCTCTAAACAAAACAACGCCTTTTTTCCTAACGTTTTACTGTAAAATACTGGCAAACTGAGAGTCTTTTATACAAAAAAGTTAAAAGAAATATTTTCCAAGAAAAGTCATCGTCTTTACAGTTTGGTCACAAAGTTATCGTGTTTTCTTTCGAAATTTGGATTTCCTCAAAAAACGACTAGAGAAAGCCAAATCTCGTCACCATCATCGCTCGGTAGATTTTGTAAGTTTCTTCAAAATTTCCGGTTTTTCCCGTTTTAGACCAAAAATTTCGAGTTAAAATTCCAGGGTCGGTCACAGGTAAATGAGTTATAACCCATTAACCAAAGTATTGAAAAATCGGCCAGAGAGCAAAAGTTTTCTAAACATTATTTGGAAAATTCGCCACCCTCATTGTTCTGAAGAGTTTTCAAGTTTCTTTAAAATTTCATTCCAGTTTTAGCAAAGTTATTAGGCAATTCTTGCTACCCAAAAAACGTATAATTATATTATATAAACCCACCCATATACTGTGCAAACTCTATGAAACATCCCTTGCAATTCCAGCAATACAAGCCTTGCTCCCCTCAGTGCTTCGACAGCTTCAACGTGGGGCCCCTCTACCGTCAAGGCCCATTTTACCAGCCGCCCTATCAGCCCCCCACAAACTGCGCCTTTTTCCCCCAGGGCTGTTTCACTGGGTTTGGAGGGGGCGGGTGGCCCGCCCTGGGAGCGTTTGGAGCGGGGGCTGCTCAATTCGCACCACAAGGGTTAGTTTGGTTTGCCAAATGCATGCTCCATTCGCAGCCTGAACACTGTTTTGTCGCAGATTTGGGGCTGGAAATATGGGATTCAACGGCTTTCAGGCGACAGGATTACCCGTCCAGCCCACTTTGGACGGCCTTCCAGACATGTGGAACTTCACAGCGTTGAACAGTTCAGCTGCAACTCTTGAGGCTGCCCAGCCTCAATTGGTGGAAGAACCGCAGCAAAATGATATGCCTTTTGTCTACCGTTTGTCGGAAGCCTATAGGGGCCGGCAGGACAACGATACCGACATATCGGTGGTGAACACCTAATTTTAAGAGTTTTGCTTGAATGTAATTTGCCATAATTTTACTAACAATTTAGCAGTGTAACAGTGCTGGATAAATATACCTGAAAACACCTGAAAGGAGTATTCACTAAAACTTTCCAAATTAATCGACCAAACTGAAGCAAAGGCCAGAACTGACCTTTGCCTCACTAATCGCACGGTATGTCCACATCAATATTTTCTTCTCCACTGACCAAGATAACGATAACCTTTGAGAGATTCAGCAAAGCAAATCATGTTGCACTCACTTCGGTTCTAGCAGCTTCCTAAAATGTGGCTAGTGAGGGCATTAGCGCTGTTCATTGTGATAGAGTGGGCAGAATCAGCGTCTGATGATCAGCCCTCGATTATCATTGTGGGCAGTGGGCCTGCCGGAATAGCGGCAGCGACCAAATTGCTGCAAAACAACTTCAACAATATCAAGATTTTGGAGGCCGAAAACAGAATTGGTAAGATTTGAATGCATGGAACAGTCGCACAAAGTTTGTTGGGGTCAAGAATCCACCATTCGACTCTTTTTAGTATAAACCACATACAGGGTGATTCAAAATTATAAGTATGTAGGGGCCCACTTAGAGAGTACCTACGAGAAAAATATTACAAACATTTTCCAATATTTCAAGAAGATGTTAACAGTTGAAGATCGAATTTCAACTTTGTTATTAAGCATTATTTTGAAAATGTCCCACGATTGATTGGTAGCATATTGGAATACTTAAGTATTCGAAAAGAAAAATTACGATCTTTTTGTCAAATTACGAAAAATTTTGATATTGAAAAAGTACTATTCTACAATTTTTTGATGAAAAGTCAATGTGGCAATGATGTTTTTGTCATTAACAGGCAGGTATACAGCATTTGTCAAACTGTGGCTTATTTTGAAGCTCCTTTCACAAACTGTAAACCAACAGCGAATTTGCGAATATGCGATTAGTTAGGGGAAAATGCCACAGTAACATAGCAGAAGCTGTAAGAATTTACACAATCTAAAGGTGTTCGATTTCCAGACCTAGAGGAACAGGTATTGGAGATTATTGCTGAGATTATTAGCTGAGCCTTCTAGGAATACTTGAAGCATTGCACAGCAACTGCACTTTCTCAAACACCGGAGACTTAATTGTCCCGATAACTCCCCCCAATAAGAGGAAGGGCCTACATTCCTACCATGTATGTAAGATGCACAGAACACTAGAACACATTAAATCTCTGATCTTTCGAACACCGGTTCAAATTGAGCAGCAGCTAATTAACCGAACACGAGAAGCTGCTCAAAATATGAGCCCAGACTCAAAGTGATTGGGACATAAAGATGTTTGGAGTTAAACGGACAGGACTTCTTGCTCTTGGGAACACTTGTGTTTTAAGAACAGAATTGTATTTTATCTGATCAATGATACATAACCTTTAACAGGTGATTTTGGAAGACAGTTGTGACCTATTAAGGTATATCACTCATTTGCCCCACAAAGATGGCAGCACTGGGGGGGTTGTTTTGTCGCAGCACTGACGGCAAGGTGACACCGTTATCCTAACGTCAGCGCATGTTATTGTCTTGCTTTGTTTCATGTTTATCCATGGTTACCGGAGTTTTTACTATTAACAGGAACAGGTTTCTACGAAATGTTCATTAGGCAGATTACCTTGAAAACCATTGTTGCCATCCTTCTGATCTAGTTTTTTTTGCAAATATCTGAGTTTTTAATAACACTTAATTTTTTAAATTATTTTTTCTGTACAAGACACCCCCTAGACAACACCTCCAGAGGAATGACGCCAATTTTGAATCACCTTGTATAACAGAACAGCTCAAACTATTCTATAAGTTTTTAGTAAGCGTTTTTTGCATAGAAAGTTTCAATGCGTAGAATTCGAATTTGGTCGGATTCTCAAAAATTCATTTTCTAATTTTCGAATGGGGGCCTTTTAAAAATCCTTCTTGAGAAAAGACAGTTTGAAAATACAGTGACGTCCGCTTGTAATGAACCCGGTTATAGTGAACTTTCGGTTAAAACGAACTTTTTTCGTTTAATTGAAACGTCGTCCATAAAGACCAACGTATTTTCTTACTGGTTATAACGAACTTCCGGATATAACGATCACTTTTTAGGTTAGCTGTATATTCACTTTCCGTTTATAACGAACTTCCACGCTCAGCAACACCAATCGTGCGGAGTTGTTTATATTAGTGAGAGCGAGAGACAGGCAGTGACTTGTTGTGTTTTGCCGCGTTATGTATGTAAATCGTTTTAGAATGGAAAAACAAAAACGCAAAGCTTTTTCACTAAATGAAAAGTACGAGATTATTAACAAAAT